GGAAGAAGAGGAAGAGGACGAGGAAGAAGAAGAGGAAGAGGAAGAAGGAGAGGAAGAGGAAGAGGAAGAAGAGGAAGAGGAAGAAGAAGAGGAAGAAGAAGAGGAAGAGGAAGAAGAGGAGGAAGAAGAGGAAGAGGAAGAAGAAGAAGAGGAAGAAGAGGAAGAGGAAGAAGAAGAAGAAGAGGAAGAGGAAGAAGAAGAAGAAGAGGAAGAGGAAGAGGAAGAGGAAGAGGAAGAAGAAGAGGAAGAGGAAGAGGAAGAGGAAGAGGAAGAAGAAGAAGAGAAAGAGGAAGAGGAAGAAGAAGAAGAAGAAGAAGAAGAGGAAGAGGAAGAAGAAGAAGAAGAAGAAGAGGAAGAGGAAGAGGAAGAGGGAGAAGAAGAGGAGGACGAGGAAGAGGAAGATACCCTCTTAGGCCTGGAGATACCCTCTCATATTTAGGATCTACTGATTCTCGTGACATTACGCAATTAAAGGAACAAGTGCTTAGTTATAGGGAGGATAATGAAAGATTGAGCCGCCAATTACAAACACTTGTCAATGTTGTCCTTCCTTTACTTCCACCCGATGCCCGACAAGTATTTCAACAACAACCTTCCCAACAAGGATCACAACAACAATCACAGGAGCAGTAAGAGCAGCAACAACAACAATCACAACATCAACCAGCTTTCACAGAGCAGCCTCAAAATGAACAAGGACATTACTCAAATTATTAAGACACTCAAACAATATTGTCATAATATTTATTATTATACTTCTTTGGATTTATATGTTCTTAGATATTTTGAATTGACTATTTGATGCATGCTAATATTAGGATTTGTGTTTGATATTTGAATATGCACTTGGTGCATATCAATATTATGGAATATTGTTAAATTTGATATCTAAATACTTTGTGTGTAATATGTATGTAATTAACAGATAAAATTTAGTTAAATCATTGGTGGTGATGAAATTTTATAATGAACGTGGTAATTACCTACGGATTTTATCCATAGGTATTTATCTACGGATTCTGTTCCTAGGTAATTACCTATGGATTACAATCAGTAGGTAATTATGTACGGATTCTGTTCGTAGGTAATTACCCACATATTATAATTCGTAGGTAATTGTCTACGGATTCTGTTCGTAGGTAAATTAGCTACGGATTACAATCCATAGGTAATTACCCATGGATGACATTACCTACGGACAATAATTCCGTAGGTAATTACCTATGACCATATTATATACGGATTTCCTACGGAAAAAATCTGTAGATAAAATGATATTATCTACGGATTTTTACCATTACCTACGAATTTTTGCCGTAGATAATCAGCTTTTTTTTTTTGTAGTGTCTGTAGATAAGAATAAGTTATAGTAATAATGGGTTAAAATAATATTCATCATCTTGGGCAAAAGTCATATGACACGTTTAAATTAGAGAAGAATATCTTATTTAATGAAGTTTAATGAATCATAGTTTGTATTTAGATTAATGTAGCATACCAGAATTTGGCTCTATTTTCAGCAGGAAAATAGTACATGGTTTCTGCAAGAACACCACATTCTCCACCTGAATCCGGAGTATCATAAAATGATCCTGTGTTTGGCCAATCACGTTCATGATTTCCACTACAATATGAATGAACCAAATATTTTCAGTCTAATAAGATAAAATTTTGATTTAAATGTCAATGACATAGAATAGTTGTAACCAAAGAACCTTGCAATCATGTACGGTACTGTTGATGAAATTTCTTGCACTTGAGCTGTGAATTGATCCCACTGTGAAATGTATCCATTTGCATAAGGCATATCTCCTATGTGGAAAACAATGTCATAATTGTTCAAATCCTTGATGAGTTGGTCGGTGGTGTTCAGTGAACCAGGTTGATAATTCGCATATTCATTTGAACCATCACGCTCAGCCTAACATGTAAACAAAAAAATTATTTTTCCTATTTCATTAATCATGCTTTTAAGTGTAATTTTCATTTAAACATTGCAAAATAATGATCCATTGACATTCCATTTTCTTGGGAGATGTTCATTCTGTTATCATTATAAAATTTGAAACTATTAATGCTACCTTTCCCATGTCACCAAATATGATAACACGTTGCAAAGAGTTTTGGCCAGGATATGGGGATGCCTTGAACGAATACTTCTTACTCCATACATAAGAACCATCAGCCAACATATGTCCCAACCTGTATGTGTACCTAAGTAAAAGAGTAAAGCTAAAACGTTCAGAACAAAATACAACAATTTATAACAGTGACAAAAACATAAAAGGATAGTTTCTTACACACCTAAAATTTGGCCACAAATCTTTTAGGAAACTTGTGTGTATAAAACCAGGGTCACGCCAGCCAACAGTTCGTGCAGGTTTACCTGTATAATAACAAAATATCCTCATTAAGCTGCATGTCTAGGTTGATATACCAGTGTAATTACTGCGCATTGATGCCCAATTTAAATAAAATAAAAAAATATAAATTCTTTTAAAGTGAGTTACTATGCTTCGTAATTAAAGTATTTCAACTACATATGTATGGTTGGGCTCTAAAGGAAAAACAAGAAAAAAATAAGAAATAGTATACATGAGAATGTTGAGGTGAATATGAGACCACACAAAATAAGACTTGATATATATATATTGTACTCAAGAAGATAATAGTGTGGTACCAATTTTGGAAAAGGACAGAAAATTAGTTAAGTTTATTCTACACATGATAAGAAGGTCATTGGAAACACACCAGTAACAAGATTATATTACACATTTTTAACCATGTGAAAAGGGGAAGAAAGATGTTAAGATGAACAATCGAGAAAATTAAGAGATATTTGATACTGAATTCTGCTTGAAATTTTGGTTTACGCTGAACTTAGACTTTGTAATAAACAAGCTATTTTGTTCAATTCTAAGCTGAAGGAAATATTTCATACCGCACATGCTGTTGCGATTAAATGTCAATGTTCCAGCAGGAGATCGTGTTTGACTTCCTTCTGGAAGACCCCACTCAACAAAAGGCACAGCTTCATTTATATCATATCCACTTGTCCATGTAATTGTCATCTGTATTGTGAGCAGATAAAAAAGCAGTGTTTAAAATTTGATTGTGTCCTGGCATTATCAAATTTAAACTTCCTAAGTGGTTTGAATATTAAGATAATTTAGACTTGTGAATACAATGAATTAGACAAACATAAAACCAAGAATCTAGCAAGTAGAAAAGCTTACTTCATCCCAAGACTTTCCTAGAGCAAGGCGTGGATACACAGGTGCTTTAGGATTTGCAAATGATATGGAGTTGGAAACTGCAACAAGTCTAGCCTGCAATGTTTAATCAGATGAAAACCAATCAGTAAAGGATTGAATAATTTGATCGCAACAAATAAGCATATGATTAGTAGTGTAGACAATTAAAAAGAAATTGACGAGATATCCAATATGCATGGGATTAGGAAAAATAGCTTACATCTGATAATCCACCAGAAAATAGCGCAAAGGAGAAATCTGCACGTTGATTGATCAACTGGAACTTCAGAACAGCTTTCCCAGTCTCTGTATATCTTGGATTAGAATCATTTGCATACTTGTACTGATACAAAGATACAAATAATTAACATGAGAAATCCACCATTGTTAATTTGTTGGTCAATCTGTAACTTAACCATGTAGAGTTGCATTTAATTACCTTTATTGGGGCTGTGCATATGTATGGTTCCTCTACCTTTCCAACTCCAGCCGTGTATGGACACGTTGAAGAACTGATGTAAAAACATACATTTCCTTTAATTTGTTTCAACTTTCAACTATAATAGTTGCGAGATATTCCCAGATATTGCCATAGCAATTAAGTGTGCCCCTTGTGCTTACATATATAATTTACCAATGCGTTCTTGTTATAATATTACTAGAAATATTAAAATTATTGACGTGCTTTTTGTAACGAACCCATGTTACTAGAAGCTAAATGACGAAGTTTGTGATGAGAAGAATCCATAGTGTCACAATCAATTTGAAATAATTAATGACTTTTTTTGCCAAAATTTTATTCGTCGAAAATTATCCTTCACATTAAATTAAATAAAATATATATTTATACATTGTTAAGGAATTTTATCCTCACAAGCTATATTGCAATGGTTTTGGTAGAAAATCCCCTTTTATTTTTTTATCATATTTTATTGGGTTTTTAAGACCTTATTATATATATATATATATATATATATATATATATATATATATATATATATATATATATATATATATATATATATATATATATATATATATATATATATATGTGCGCGCGTGCATGAAATTAATTTTACTTACACGGGATGGTGGCTATTCTTATCTAACGCAGCCATTTTGGTGGGTATAATATAAATGTTGTCACTGTTATGCTTACAATAATATACTATTATTTTTCACCAATATAAAAGTGTATTGAAAAAAAAAAATATATATATATATATATATATATATTAACATATTAATCCGCTAATATGTGGGTTTAATCTTTGACAGGAAAAGTTGGACTCTATATTTCGTACTAATTAATTGTGTTAGATCAATATGTTGTCTTGTTTTTGCGAACTGGAAACATATCATACCCGAAGATTAGAAATGGAAGATGTGAAAACGAGACACACCTAACCATTCACCCTTATATAACTATCACAAACAAAGGCTTTAAATTTTGTTTCCTAGAGAATGGTGAGAAAACAAATCAAAGTTATAGATAAAGTATACGCTACCAAAGTTGAGAGAGAGCAAAAGCTGAACTATATATGGACATCAGCCAAAGGAGGGTATGTAAAGGAAAAATTCTTACATATCAGAATCCTGTTTCTTTCAGATATAAAGTTCAATTGTTCATTAAGTCATATCATAATGCTTAAGCCTGTTTAAGTTTTTATAATTTTACACTTTGACCAGGAAAAAATATTATGAAAAATAATTTTCTTCTTACTACTGATAAGGTAATTGAATATTTACTTTTAAACAGATAAAACACTTCTTTTCTTTTTATTTACAATTGTAATGGATATTGGCATTTTCATTCCACAATTAGAGACATTTTGCTTCCTTTTTTATTCTAATTATTTACTAAAAATTTAAAAAACGATTTGTTTATGTCACTAAAATTGATATTTTTTAGTAAACTAGATTATGAAATTTATTAAAATAACTGAAAAGCAACAACTTGTATTGAAAAGATCGTTGAAGATTACTTGAAGTTTGCTGGAGAAAAAACTCCAACCCAGTCGTCCACAGACGGGTTTGGCGAGTGAAGTTCAACATTCACCCATTCAGTATCCTCGCCCTGCGACGCAACCATATATAACTCAAAATGTACACCAATAAATTCTAAATCAAATACTCACGTAGAGAAGAAAAACTGTTACGCACCTTGATTCCTAACAGAAATGGTGCTGCAGTAATGGAAGCGGAACTGTGGAGTGCCAAAAGGATTTTGTGTATAGCAATCTTTGCCAGTGGCTGTTCCCCAAATCCGTCCATATGCTCATGACCCAAAATTATTTTCAAATTGGTGAAACACAAGATCAGCAAAATCATATTGAACCCTTTTCCAGCCATCCCTTTCATTTTTAATCTTGTTCGATAAAAAATGGTGAGGAGGAAATTCAAACATTCAGTAGCCAAAGTTCTCTGATGGAGTAAAACGTAACGTCGATTTCAATATTTTATAGAAATAAAGCACGATGGACAGAAAGAAACTACATATTTCCGATAATAAGATACGCAAGTAAAATTATATAAATAATAATTAAAAAACAAAAGATATAGAAAAAAATCACAAGAAATGTTTTTATTTGTTTTTGTGAATTTTTTTTTTTTTTCTCTTTACTGTCGATTAGTCATTGTCAAAAATAATTATTAATATCATGACACTATTGAGTACGACACATAAGATTCTTGAATTATTTGTTAGGTACCATTTAACGTGACATGACCTACACTCTATTCTTACTATTTAAGATACATAAACTACTACGGTTTGTCCCATCTAATATTTTTTTAATCACTGATTATAATTATTATCGACTTTAGTTTCTGTTTTTATTTCTACAAACAATTTGCTTAAAAAATTGTCTACTTAAACATTATTATTTCAAAATAGATATTTTTATATATCATTTAATAGAATAATTATTTAAAAGTAATAATTGTGCAGGTTAAGTGTGTAAATAATTTTTTTAAATGCTAAATTTGATTTGTCCGTTGTTAAGCAATGTCAATAATTAATTATACTTCACTTGTTGCAAGTTAGATTACAACACATTCATTCCCACTTTAATTTTAAAAAAAATAGTTGGTGTATATTTTAGTCAGTTTTTATTTTTTATTGCTTGGAAATATTTGTAATCTTATTGATAATTAGGAAACATTTTTTTAACTAGTTTGTACACTTAAAAAATAAAACTATTTTAATTAGTAATTTTTAAAACATATATGTTACATTTCTTATATTTTTTTCTTAAACTGATTATTAATGTTTACCCTTTGTATATAATGGTAGAGTTTCTTACTATTGTTTTTAAATTTTTTATCTTATCCATATAAGATAAGATTATATTATATTTATTATTTTATTATAATATATTTATTATTTATTAAAAGGTATTCATAATGAAAAATAATAGATTTATTATTATTTTTAGATATTCTTTATCTCAAATTATTTCAATCACTACTTTATTTATACAAATTATTTTATTATTTTAATATTATAATCAAGATGTTGATAGTAACATATGATATTATAAATATTTTATATTATAAGATTTATTTTAATCCATAAACACCATTTACACACTATTACGTAAAACACATAATACGACACAATTCAACGTCGCTTTTTATGAAGTACGACGTTGTACAAGACGCGGTGGCAAACTTGTAATTAAGAAACAATATTTAACGTCGGTCATAAGAAAACCGACGTAGAAATGGATAAATCACGTCGTTTAACTAATAGACGACATTAAATGTTTAAATTTAACGTCGATTATGTATAACCGACGTTGACATCCCAAAATCAACGTCGGTTCCATGATTTACCCGACATCGAAAGCATTATCCACGTCGGGCTTTTTAATAACCGACGTCGAATGTCCTAACATACCTAGTCCAGAGCGCGCAATTGTTCTTCTGCTTCTTCTTCTACTTCTTCTTTGTGCTCTGCTACCTCAATCCTCATCTGCGTGTTGTATCAGCTCACCCTTTAGTGCCCTGCATCTTCGTTCTCAGCATACACCTCAGGTCTCTGCTTCTTCTTCGTTCCTTGTTTGACGTGGTATCGTTGCCCCTTGCCACCCCCTAGCCGTGCTCTTACACGTCGTTGCACCGCCGTTGTTGCCGTGTGCGTGGTACCCCTCGTTTCCCTAAGGAAACCCCATCTCATCAGGTTAGATTAAGTGGTATGGATGATTTACAGCATGCATTTAACATAAACATGGATTATTTAGAGCATTTCCTGCATATGAACAGTGGAAAGATGATGAATGCTTTTGTATGGTTTGATTTGAGGTACATTTTGGAAGTTTGTTTTCGGTTTCAAACTGATATATACTCTTTCATGTATATGTACACGTTTGACTGTGACTGGTTTTTGGGCTATCTTTTTTTTTTGTATTGTTTTGCTAAACCTTTTGTAATAAACCTTCAATATCTAGGCAAGCCCTTTTGTGTAGTTAGATGGATCGAACTTGGGTCAATGCAAGTCGCATGTCAGAAGAGTATGAGAATGGAGTTGATTCCTTTTTGAAATTTGCCGAAAAAAATGCTCCCAAAATGAATGGAAAAATCTATTGTCCATGCGTTAATTGTGTAAATGGCAGAGTACAAGAGATGGACACAACGCGGGAACATCTTATTTGCGATGGGATGATGAAGAATTACACCATATGGACATGGCACTGTGAAGTGGTTAATATTCCAACAAGTATCACAAACTATTGAGGATGATGTAACCTCGTGAAGATCGAATAGAGGACATGCTTTGTGATGTGGGTCAAGAGAGGTTTCTTGAAGCACATGCATCTATATATGATACATTGAGGACCGATTCGTAGACACCTTTGTATCCCGGATGTACAAATTTCACACGGTTGTCATCTGTGTTAAAATTGGTCAATCTAAAAGCAAAATTTGGTTGGAGTGATACAAGTTTTAATGAATTACTCGCAACTTTTGAAGGAGATGCTCCCGCACAATAACACCTTGCCGGACCGTATGTATGAAGCGAAGAAGATACTTTGTCCGATGGGTTTAGAATATAGGAAGATACATGCTTGCCCTAATGATTGTGTGTTATACAGAAAGAATTCTCATCTTTAGACCAATGTCCAACATGTGGTGTATCACGTTACAAAGCGAAGGATGGTGATGATTGTAGTCGGGAGAGTGATAAAAAACGTCCTCCTCGCAAAAGTTTTATGGTATCTTCCAATAATTCCAAGATTTAGGCGGTTGTATGCTCACGAAGATGCCGAAAATTTAATTTGGCATTCAAAGAGAAAAACATGTGATGGGCAAATGCGACATCCATCCGACTCTCCCCAATGGAAGAATTTTGACCGTCTATTTCCAAGTTTTGGTAGTGATGCAAGAAACCTTAGACTTGGATTAGCAACAGATGGGATGAATCCTTTTGGAAACTTAAGTAGTAACCATAGTTCATGGCCCGTTTTATTGATGATTTACAATCTTCCACCATGGTTATGCATGAAGCGCAAATATGTCATGTTGTGTATGATGATTGCAGGTCCAAGACAGCCAGGAAATGACATAGATGTGTATTTGAGTCCTTTGATAGAAGACTTAACACTATTATGGGAGGAAGGAGTAGATGCATTTGATGGGTATCAGCAGCGAAGTTCAAGTTGCATGCAATGTTATTTTGTACCATTAATGACTTCCCCGCCTATGGAAACTTGAATGGGTATAGTGTGAAGGGGCATTATGTTTGTCCTATTTGTCAAGAAGAGACCAGTTATCTACAATTGAAACATGGAAAGAAGACAGTTTATAACAGGCACAAAAAATTTCTCCCGCATGACCATCCATACCGTAGACTGAAGAAAGCTTATAATGGCATACAGGAGGATGAAATTTCCAGAGAACCATTGACTGGTTAACAAGTTTACGATCGAGTGAAGAACATAAGCATTACATTTGGAAAGACCCAAAAAAGGTCTTCTGACAAGAACATGTGGAAGAAGAGATCAATTTTCTTTGATCTTCCATATTGGAGCCATTTAGAAGTACGACATTGTATTGATGTTATGCATGTGGAGAAGAATGTATGTGATAGTCTCATTGGCACATTGTTAAACATTCAAGGAAAGTCAAAGGATGGGATCAAAGCACGTCAAGACCTTTGTGAGATGGGAATACGTCCTGAATTACATCCAAGGCCTGAAGGCAATAGAACATATCTACCACCAGCATGTCACACCTTGTCAAAGAAGGAGAAACGTAGTTTATGTCATTGTCTTCAAAGTATTAAAGTGCCACAAGGATACTCTTCAAATATTAAGAGTCTTGTATCCATGAAATATCTGAAGTTAATAGGATTAAAGTCCCATGATTGTCACGTTTTGATGCAACAGTTGTTACCCATGGCTATACGTAACATATTGCCTAAGAATGTTAGACATGTCATTATGCGACTATGTTTTATCTTCAATTCTATTTGTGCCAAGGTTATCGATGAAAAATCACTAGATGAGTTGGAAAATGAGGTTGCGGTTGTACTATGTCAATTGGAGATGTATTTTCCTCCATCATTCTTTGATATAATGATTCACTTAATACTTCATGTTGTGAGGGAGATACGAATTTGTGGGCCGGTTTATTTGAGGTGGATGTACCCAATTGAGCGATACATGAAGATCTTCAAAGGGTATTCTAAAAATCCATACAGACCTGAAGCTTCAATTGTTGAGCGGTATATTGCTGAAGAAGTCATAGAATTTTGTATAGATTACTTGGCAAGAGTGGTACCTGTGGGTGTACCTAGAAATCGTCATGATGATAGGCTAAATGGTAAGGGAACTCGTGGTATTAGAATTCAAACAAAAGATCATGTAGAGTTAAGCACCGCCCACTTGTATATTTTGAACAATACAGAAGAGGTTATTCCTTACATAGATGCGCATAAAGCAATGTTAAAGGACTGTCGTCGCCGTCCCTTTCGACGTCCGGGGGACGTCTTGAAACATTTATGCGAGCGGTCGCGAAAAGATGGTTTAGACTCGCGTATTTGTTTAAAGAATTGTTCATTGCTTCAACATTGAAAAAGCAAGGTTTTCGAAAAGGGGTTCTTATGGAGTCGCCACCAATATTTTGACCATAAACATTGGAAAAGGATGAAAAGGCATTGATTTTAATAAAAACCAGACTTGGTCATTATAACCAGAGTTAGGTAAGGGAGTTAGTTACGTGTGGGGAAGGTGTTAGCACCCCATAACGCCCCTTTCGGGTTCCCTATGACAGATTAATTCATTTAAGTAAAGACTACGAGAAATTACGCGATTACCCTATTTTATTACATAATATTAAATGGCTATCTACATGATTTT